AAAAACTTTCATCCATTTTTAAAAATTTTAATTTATATTTTCATCTAAATTATATCTCTCTTTTTATTTATTATTAAAATAGCATCATTTTACAGGAGATTTAACATTCTTTGTTTAGAGTTCTGACACCGATTTTTAATCGAGAAATCAAAATAGTTTGATGATAAAATTAATATAAAAATAGCTTGGATGCAAAATTGATAATACTCTAATAATCTGGTAATGTATTTGAAGTTTGCTAAAACAAAATCGCCAAACCGTTATTCACCTTCATTGATTAACCGATATAGTCTCACAACGTCTCCACCAGCACAAAATGCTCTGCCATTTCCCTACAGGAAGCTCAAAACGCTGTGGTTGAGGGGCTGCGGTGAAGCAGAATACACAGTTCGTATAACCAAAACTGAAAAACAAATGCTTACCTTCAGCACGATAAAATCAACGAGGGGATCGTTCGCCCAGGACTCGTACAGTTTAGTAAGCCGATGTCCCTGATAATTTATAGCATCAAAAACCCAAATGTAGCCATTTTCTCTAGCGAGCATCAGCTAGTTGCAAGAATACACTTGCCAAAAACGTATAGAATTGGGGGGGAGCTACATGTTTATGGACCCAATAAAGACGATAGAATTTATAGGATCATGAATAAACAAGAATTGCAGGAGTGTTGAATGAAAATGACTGTGCATAATCATACCATTGGAGTGGTGAGAGCATTCAGGACATGGGGTCTATTAAGGATGACAACTCTTGAGTTTGTTCCTTTCTCAACCAGCACCTGAAAGAACAAGGAGCAGTCACCTGATTAAAACGCATCGTGTAGACGTACGTCTATACATCAATCCGGGTGCGATTCCTGAGAAGTTACCGAATTTTCAAGATCTTCACAGCTATTTGTAGCACTGTTGAGTGATGAGGAAAGGGTCCTTCTAAGAAAGGAAAACGGAGTAGTCTTGTTTAAAGCACTCTTCAGGACTTTGAAACCCTGCTGCATCTTTTGTTCTCTGTTATGTACTCTTTGGGGGCTTCCTGTGGCTACGTCATATGGTTACACTTTTACCAACACATTCTTATATAGCATTGAAGGTATTCTGCGTTGGGTTGGTTGTCATTATCATAAACCAACCATTAATTAATAGCACCATCTATTGATAAATATAATAGCTAGAGCTAGAGCTGTA